GAGTGCCAGGATTACAGGCGTGCGCCACCATGCCCGGCTTTAATAAGGTTTTTGAGGCAGGGTGTGGTGGCGCACACCTGTGATCTCAGCACTCAGGAGTCTGAGGCAGGTGGCCAGCCTAGGGTACACAATGAGTTCAAGGCCAACCTAAACTACACAGTGAGACCTGTCTCAAAAAGCAAAAAAACAAAAGGTTGAGGTTTATCAACATTAAGTTCCAAAATAAAGCAACTGTATTAAAGTACAACTGGCATAAAATTCTAACTCTACCACAGTTGGAAGACACACATCACAAAATAATATAACAGAAAATACCTGGACAGTCTACTTTGTGGTAGGCACTGTTCTAGGGACTTTATATTTTAAATATGAGTAGGATATCGTAAATTCTGATAACATCCTGTAATGCAAGTACTATTATCTCTATTTTACAGATGAAGAAACAGATAGATTAAGTCACCACCCTATGTCATCCAACTAGTAAGAAGCAGAGAAGGAATTTTTTTTAACTCTTTGGAGTATAACCAAAGAGTTAAAAAAAATTACAATACACTGCCTTATAGTAGGGGTTATACAATGGTAACCTTTTTCTTTTATAACTTCTTTGGCTTTCAAACATTTTCGAATAGCATCAAGCAGTAAAATAAAAAACACAGGTGGGCAGGCCTGGAGGTGTAGCTCAGTAGTAGATGCATACTTAGTAATGGGAGGCCCAGGATTCTCTGGATTCTATCCCATAGTGCTACTCCTCCCCACAAAAAGCACAAGCTTTGGGATCAAATAGATCCCTGAACAAAGTCTAGGCCTCTGCATCCCCATACACAAAATGAAGGTACTTAAGTGATGATGAAAGTCAAAGAAAGTCAGTTGTGATGGCTCATGCCTGCATTCATAGTACTCTGGGAGGCTGAGAGAAGATGATAGCAAGTTCAAGCCTACCTGGGTATAGTACTAAGATAATCTCAAGATAAAAAGTACAAAAAAAGATTGGAAGCCAGGCATGGTAGTGCAAGCCTGTAATCCCAGCACTCGAGAGGCTGATGCAGGAGGATCAGACTTCGAAGCCAGCTTGGGTTACAAAGTGAGTTCAAAGCAAGCCTGAACTACATAGTGAAATGCTATCTCAAAAAAGTGAAAAAACATGGGCTGGGGATTTAGCTCAATGGTTCTGCCGCCTGCTTCTCAAGCACAAGGACCCGAGTTTGTTCCCCAGTACCAAAAAAAAAAAAAAAAAAAAAAAAAAGTGAAACAACAAGCAAGTAAACAAAGGGTGAGAGAGAGAAAGCTCAGTGGGAAAGCTTTGGATTCAATCTCCAATACCAGAAGAAAAAAGAAAGCCAAGAAGGTAATACAAAACTCAAAGTTCAGTACACGGGATGTTTTTGGGTTTTTTTTTTTCCAGACAAGGTTTCACTACTAATTCAGGATAGCCTTGAACTCACTGTGTAGCCCAGGCTTGTCTTGAACTTACACAGTCCTCCTGCCTCAACCTCACTCTCCCAAGTGCTGGGATTACAGGCATGCACCACCACAGACAGGATAGAGAGTTCTTAATATGAAGTTTACAGGGAGCAAAAAGGTCCAGAGATGGGCTTCATAGTCTACAAATCTTATAAATTGTATGACTGTGCGTGCCCAGTTTTTAAAGAATTGTCCCTAGCTTTGCATAAACTTTCAAGAAAGTACAAATGACCTCCAAAAGGTTAAGAACTACTACATTACATAGCAGGTACTACTACTACTAATAATAATAATATAATAACACACAACTAGCTTTCTCTTTCTGTTCTCAAAAATTCTCCCTTTTTCCCTTTAAGGAAGCATATCAAGGCTTCACAATTGTTTCCCACGTTTTCCTAGTTAAACAGCAATAAATACAAGTTTATGGTCCAATTTCCTGGCGTTAGCCTAAAAGCCCTTAATCGCTGCTTCATCTCTCCTTTCACCGAGACCAATTTACAATACGGTATTTACTTGCGAAGAATAGTCCACTAAGGTGCACGAAGCACCACGCTATCTCCCTCCCCGCAAAAAAGAATGAAGCCTCAGGACTGAATGGCAGACACCTGCTACCCCAGTGCTGGGGTATTAAGAGAATGTTTCCCAAACTACTGGGCAATCCCCCTGTCCTCCCTCCGTGGAACTCTGGTGCAGGCAGATGGACTGGGCTCTGCCTTGGGCTGAAGAGAAACGTTACCTGAACTGAGGTCTGGAGCGTCAGGGAAATCCCAGCTCTGGTATCCTGGGAGGCGGCCGCAGCAACCGGCAGAAAGCCTACCCTCAACTGTCCCCCGAAGAAACACCAATTATAGGTCTCTGCTGGGGCTGACAGCCGGCTCTGGATTTTTCCGTTTCTCTAAGTGACTTCCGCTTCCGGGTCAGCATTTGCCGGAAGCAGGTGTAATGACGTCAAAGTTTCGCGCTCTGGGTGACTCCGGAAGAAACTGGAGTCTGCCGTGAACATGGTGAGAAAAGCGTGCCCAAGAAGAAACCTTGTTAGACCGCTTTTTGGGACGAATAAGGAGGATCTTGAGTTTGCCTATACTTCCCGCTCTATATTGTCCTAGTTTTTTTCACTCAAATCTTACCTCTTAAACTGCTCGGAATGGAGTCTGTTTTAGGGAGTAAGGAGAGCCTGGGTGTTTGAGGGAAGAAGGAAAAGGGGCTGGACAAAAGAAGAAATTTAAAAGATAACAATGTGTTTCCAATCCTTTTAACTCTGAAATTTTTGTTTCAAGGGGAAACAAAAGAAAGCAAGGAAGTATGCGACCATGAAGCGAATGCTTAGTCTCAGAGATGAGAGACTGTGAGTGTCCGAAATCAGCGGGGCTCTTAGGCTGCCTACAAATTAAGTCTCGAGGGGATAAGTAGTAAAAGTTTTGTGTCTTTTGCTTTTACTTATATTATTGTGCCTCAGATTTATATAACATAATAGTTAAGTGTATAACAGTACTTAGCTGAGCGGTTATACTGGAAAAGACGATGGAAATTAAATATTTCTTAATGTTTACTTTTGGTATCATTGTCATATACCATATCACATTTAATCCTCGGAACATTTATGTGAGGTAGATAATGATTGTCTTTGTGATCTTATCATTACTCTGTCACACACCCCAACAGGGGAAAATGTTTTTACAGTCGTTGTTGGAAGATTGTGAGGTCAGAGACCATGTTTGGCATGTGTCTCAACATCTAACACAAAAATATTTTTGAAAGAGAGTGGGAGAACTCCATTTCATAAACCTAAAAATCCAGATCGCTGTGGAAGAGAATAGAATAATATTCTCTATTATAAAGATGATCTAAACAGTTTTCTTGCTCACATGAAGTCAGGAACTAGTAATCATTGTGTTTAAGAGTCTCAGAACAAGAGAATGGTCATTAGAAGCTTCAAAGTTATTCCTCTCAGTCTTTAGTATGGATTTATTATGCACTTTTTTTTAAGGAATGATGTCCCATTGATAATTTTCTTTTCTAATCGAGGTTTAAATTTTGCATTTATGGTATGTTTTAGTCATTTATGAGAAGCATATGGAAGACAGACCTGGTGGTGAACACCCAGCTCTTGGGAGGCTGAGGCAGCAGGATTGTCATGAGTTGAAGGCCACATACTGAGAACATGTCTCAAAAAAACAAATAAAAGAAGCATATGGGATAACCTTTTTGCCCATGTTGTGATAGCATCTGAGTTGTCAGAAGATAAATATCAGCCTGTTCACCCACTGTTTGAAAGTAGATGTTGATCCTTGATATGAGACCTTCTGACAAAGTTTTAGTATAATCAACATGTACCTATTGACAATTTTTTTGACTGTTGGCTTTACTGATTGTTTTACTTATAGTCTACTTCCTGCTATGGTTATTTGATCAGAAAATGTTTGTCAGTGTTAACATAAAGATGTCATAAAGTAGGGGCCAGGGATTTAGCTCAGTGGTTCTGCCGCCTGCCTCGCAAGGGCAAGGACCTGAGTTCAATCCCCCGTACCAAAAAAAAAAAAAAAAAAAAAAAAAAAAATGATGTCATAAAGTAGAATTTCCTCTGTAGTGTAAAACAAATGAAACCTTTGAATGGAATTATAACTACTATGCTATTTTGTTATCTGGATTTACTTTCTTTTCCAGCAAAGAAAAGGATAGATTAAAACCTAAAAAGAAGGAAAAGAAAGATCCCAGTGCACTAAAGGAAAGAGAAGTGTGAGTAATCAAAATTTTCAAGGTTTCCTTTAAAAGTTAAAGAGATGTTTTAAAACCATAGACCTCTAAGAAATTCAAGCTTTCACCTGGTGTTGTGGTACATGCCTGTAATCTTAGCAATCTGGGAGGCTAAGGAAATCTTCATTGTTGATGTGAATATAAATTGGTATGACCACTATGGAAATCACTATGGAGACTCCTCAAAAAACTAAAACTAGAGGTTTCATTTGACCCAGCTGTTCCTGTTCTTGGTGTCTTCCCTAAAAAGTTAAAAACAACATACCACAGTGATATATGCATACCTATGTTTATAGCAGCACAATTTATAACAGCTAAATCTTGGAAACAGTCCATATGCCCGTCAAAAGATGAATGGATAGGGCCAGGGATTTAGCTCAGTGGCACCACACCTGCCTTGCAAGTGCAAGGTCCTGAGTTCAATCCCCAGCACCAAAAAAAAAAAAGATGAATAGATAAAGAAAATATAGTATTTATATACCGTGGAGTATTAGTCATAAAGAAGGATAAACTTCAGTCATTTTTAGGTAAATTGTTCTCCCTCGAGACCATAACATTAAATGAAATAATTCAGACACATAACTTTAAATACCTCATTGTTTCTCTTGTTTAAAAAACTCAAAGGGTAAATAAAGAGCAAAATAGAGGATAGATATTGGGAAGTAGAAAGAACATGTTCCAATGAGATCAGAAGTAGGTGGGGAGAAAGAATAAAAAAAGAATAGAAGGATAAAAATGGAAACAAAGGGAATGGGAAAGAAAGAAGAATGAAGTATAGTATTACAGGTACAAATTCCCTATGATGAATGTGATCATTATGTATGATAAAAATGTTTTTAAAAATTGCCTTTGGGCCGGGGACACAACATGCCTCTCAAACATGAGGACGCAAGTTCAATCCCCAGTACCAAAAAAAAGAAAAATGCCATTGTTTAACACACCAGCATTCTTCCAGTGAAAAAATAGTAATGATTGTATTTTCAGAATAAAACCCATTCCTTTTAAATATGTATCTTTAATTTTACAAAGGCCTCAGGACATTTTTCTTCTTTTTTTCTTTTTGTCCTGGATTGTTGATAGCTATATGATCACTTGTGGATTCTGGTCCATGGATTAGTATTTAAACATCTTGGACTTTTAGATGAGAAACAGGCCCTGGTGTGTTACGTAGTCTTAATGGTAGACAAACTCTTCTCCTGTATCACATTTTGTGCAACATTTTAGGCTCCTGTGAGGATAACAAACCTGCCATAGTATTCTAATCATGGGAGCCATGTTCTACCTCTTTGTACCCATGATGTCTGATCCTGCTTGTATTTTTAAAGTTGTGGCAAAGCATGCTAGTAGACCTGAGTTTAAGATATGGTGTTACTTTCTTCCTTGCCTTCCTTTTTAAGGTTTATCTCCAATGAACAAAAGAAAAGGGTCTTAATATATAGTGAACTGATTTAAAAAAAAAAAAA